ACAGCATCACCACAGGCATTGATGAAACCCGTAAGTTGGATTCTTAAGTACGGTTTACTCTTGCTTTACTCATGGTGTAGACCTGGTTTAGTCCTGGTTTAGTCCTGGTTTGGTTCTGGTTTGGTCCTGGTGTGGTTCTGGTTTGGTCCAGGTTTTGTCTGGGTTAAGTCCTGGTTTAGATTTTGGACAGCATCACCACACGCTTTGATGAAACCCATTCATTTCTTAAGTACTGTTTACCTTTGCTTTAGTCCTGCTGTAGTCCTGGTTTAGTCCTTGTTTAGTCCTGGTTTAGTCCTGGTTTGGACCTGGTTTAGTCCTGGTTTAGTCCTGGTTTAGTTCTGGTTTAGTCCAGGTTTGGACCTGGTTTAGTCCTGGTTTGGACCTGGTTTAGTCCTGGTTTAGTCCTGGTTTGGACCTGGTTTAGTCCTGGTTTAGTCCTGGTTTGGACCTGGTTTAGTCCTGGTTTAGTCCTGGTTTAGTCCTGGTTTGGACCTGGTTTAGTCCTGGTTTAGTTCTGGTTTAGTTCTGGTTTAGTCCTGGTGTGTGTCTCTGTCCGTGGTCCTGAAGTTCAGGACCACGGACAGAGACACACTGGGGCCTCGTCACACGAAACACAAATACACAAATAAAAATAAATAAAATAAACAAAATAAATATGACAAATAATATGAAAATAAAAAATAAAAAATACAAACTTTTTTTTTTTTTTTTTTTTACTGAATTTTTTGTGATTTTTCAATCATAATAAAAATAAAGCAGTTCAAATATATTGTACTTACATCATGTTATTTTTAAAGAATTTTGGGTTTATTTTTTGGGACTAAAACTGGTTTAGACCTGGTTTAGTTTTGGTTTAGTCCTGGTTTAGTCTTTGTGTAGTCCTGGTATAGTTCTTGTTTAGTCCTGGTCTAATCCTGGTCTCGGTTTTTTCCTGGTTTAGTCCTGGCTAAGTCCTAGTTTTGACCTGGTTTAGTCTTGATTTAGTCCTGATTTGGTCCTTGTTTAGTCCTGGTTTAGTTCTGATTTGGTCCTGGTTTGGTTCTGGTCTAGTTCTAGTTTAATCCTGGTTTAGTTCTGATTTGGTCCTGGTTTGGTTCTGGTCTAGTTCTAGTTTAATCCTGGTTTAGTTCTGATTTGGTCCTGGTTTGGTTCTGGTCTAGTTCTAGTTTAATCCTGGTTTAGTTCTGATTTGGTCCTGGTTTGGTTCTGGTCTAGTTCTAGTTTAATCCTGGTTTAGTTCTGATTTGGTCCTGGTTTGGTTCTGGTCTAGTTCTAGTTTAATCCTGGTTTAGTCCTGATTTGGTCCTTGTTTAGTCCTGGTTTAGTTCTGATTTGGTCCTGGTTTAATAATAATATTTGTATCTTCATTCAAAAAAATTAACTAAAGTGAAAAAGTCCTTGTTTAGTC